TCACCGGTGTATTCGTCCCTTCAAAAAGTGTGGATGGTCCTGCACGGGCCTTCACCACTACAATCAAATCTCATGTGCCGGTGTCGGGCTGTCGGTTTCCTGGAAACTGATCTACTTGACCCTCATACGTCGAATCTCGACGGGAGAGTCGATTATACAAATATATATATATATATATATATATATATATATATATATATATATATATATATGGGAAAAAGGGAAAAGGACGCGTTTCATCCCTTAGGAATTCATCGAACCAGGTTTGTTCAAAAAACGCGTCACCAGACTTTTCCACATTGTCATACATATTTTCTTCAAAAACTTGTGGATACAAAAATTTATCTTTATCCTGCCCTACTCTGTTTTGAAAGATACGTCTATCGTGAAGTGCTAAATCGAAAACGAAATTGTTGTCAATTGGAGACACTGTACAAAATGTTGCAGAAGAACTCATTTCTCCCTACACAATCGTTATAGCGTGTTGCATTTTCACAGTAATATTATTTAAGTCTCTCAGGAGGTGATTATGGCACTAAATATAGAAATATTACTTTTATCCTCCTTACGCTTCTGACCATGCTCCTTCTGACTATCATCTTTTTAGATCATTGCAATATTTTTTAGATAAAAGAAGGTTTATTAATTGCGGAGGCGTTAAAACTGACACACTAGTGTTTCTCTGCATTTAAACCTGAAGGATTTTTACGCCTGACGGTTTAAAAAGATGCCAAATATATGAGCAAATTATGTTATCGATAATGAAAAACATGGAAAACATTATATTGATAAATTATATCAATATATTTTTCTATCTTAAATTGTGACAGTACTTTCTAACCTAATAGGAACACGAAAGATATAAAAAATAAATATAAATAATAGGAATAGATAGAGATAGAAGATAGATTAAAGACAATAGATAATAGATAATAGATAGATAACAGACTGTACATACATAGATAGATAGATAGATAGATAGATAGATAGAGATTTGAACAGATAGATAGATAGATAGATAGATAGATAGATAGATAGATGATAGATAAATGAAACACACACACATAGATAGATAGATAGATAGATAGATAGATAGACAGACAGACAGACTCGGCCCTAATCAACGTTGTTGTTCATTTGTTCTCTTCTATTGTCCTCAGTGGAAATATCATTCGTTTCTTCGGCAAACACGCATTCCTTTTTCTTTACAACTGGCAGAGGCCAAACTTAGATGGACAATCCTCATCAATATTCCTATTTTTATAACAAAATTGTTTGAAAGGAAGCAAAATATATCTATTTCCGATCTCTCGTCACCTTCTAAAAATAGGCATTCCGTTGATTAGACCAAATAAGAAAGAATCCATCACTTGTTACCATCATTATCATCATTATCAACAGCAACAACTTTTCCCGCGTTCATATCACAACTGCTATTTCCCTCATTAGCAGTCGCTAATCTTGGGATAAGCTTTGTGATTATTTTTTACCATTATTTCGCTTAATCACATTTTTTTCTTATTATTAATATTGTATTGGATAACGCCAAAAGTTCCTTCTGTTTTTGCTATTATATGGCATTAGGAGAGTTTAGTTTTAACTAATTTTTTAAATCACCTTGGGCTGTGTTTTGATAGTACGTATTTTTTATTGATTTTAATATAGGAAGATGAAACAAAAAAGCCACATTTTTGTATATGGTACTCATTTTATTTTAAGAAAATTAAAAATACAACTGGGGTTCAAAAAGGATTTGTGAAATTTATGAAGAAGTACTTTGAATGGTCGAACATATCAAAAAGTTTCGTGCTGTTGATTTTCTCATTGAATGGTGTTCCATGGGCAAGTAAACTAGTTGAGTTTGAGCGCATGAAAAAATATTTGCAAATAAACAACAGTATATGATACGGTACATGCTTCAAAATCAGGCGGTGAAAATCATTTGCATAGGCTTGATTATGTTAGTCACTTTCATGTGTGGCTTCCACATAAGCGAAAAATATACTAGGCCGTCTTCAACAGCAGATCATTGATCATTAATGTTATGTTATTGAAACAATCTGTGACAGGTGATGAAAAGTGGATACTTTACAGCAATGTTGAAAGAAAGAGATCGTAAGACGAAAGCAATGAACCAACACTAGCCATACCAATGTGTAGTGATGGTGTGTACATGGTCTGGTTTGAGTTCCTCCCAGATAAGCCAGTGGTTGATTTGAGTAAATATTGTTCATAATTTTACCAATTGAAACAGAAATGAATGATTAATTAAATAAAAAGGCATAATATTCCGCCAGGATAACGTTACATCACATGTTTCTTTAGTGAGCAGATAAAAATTGTTACAACTTTACAGGGAATTTTACGCTCATGCCTCCGCCGTATTCAGTAGATATTGCACCTTCGAATTAGATTTGTATCAATGAAAACAAAGTTCACCCCATGTATAATTACAAAGGCCAGTTCATTTGTAACTAGACGGTTGGCCATTTGGGAATACCAAATGCTGTGAGCTTAGTTGTGTCGCTTTGTTTTGTTTTGTTTTACGTTATATCAACCTCAATGGGCTATTTAGTGCCGACAAGATTTTTATTGATGGTCATATTTTTATTCTATCTATCTATCTATCTATCTATCTATCTATCTATCTATCTATCTCAGTATATATTGGTTTGGTTTGTTTTACGGCATATCAACCTCAATGGGTTATTTAGTGCCGACAAGATTTTTAATACTGGTCATATTTTCATTCTATCTATCTATCTATCTCAGTATATATTGGTTTGGTTTGTTTTACGGCATATCAAAAAAAACCCGGGTCAGGGTAGACCTGGAACACCAGCAATTAAGAGGTGGTCCCACGCTCCTCAATCTGATCAGAGGCATTGCTGTCGGATGTAATTTATCGACATACCCAGGACGCGGATGTAGTTTATCGTCATACCCAGGACGTTTGGATGTGTCGTTAGTGTAATGTATAACAGCCTAGAATGGGAAATTGGAGAGCCGAGTTCGAATTCCAATCGGTTTTGTTACATTCACTTACAGATAAATATCCTTGGGGAAGGTATGAATTACATTCCATCTATGGGTTAAATAGTTACTTTAAAAAAATTATATCCAAAAATTATAAATGCACATGCAGAAAAAAAAGAAGAATTATTCTTGCAATACAAAAATATGTTTTGGCTTTAAATAAGCTAACAGGTTGATAAACCGTAAAAAAGAAATCACTCAATAAATGAAAAAGGCACTTAGCATGGTTCTTTGCTGAGAAACATCAAAATTTCTGAGACGGTCTAATAATGGAGTTGCCAGAAAAAATGCCAGAAAGGATGATAGAAGATAAACAAATAAAATGGAAAATATATTAACGATTAAAGTTAATATTTAAAATAGTTAACTTTTTAAATTTTTACTTTATAAATCGCTCAACCTTTTTAGATTTCTCAATATTTTGTTGTAGATCTATATCTATAATTCTCAAAATGTGTGTGTATGTACGTGTATATATATATATATATATATATATATATATATATATATATATGCGTGTATGTGTACATATATATATGTGTCTGTGTATGTGTGTGTATATATATATATGTGTGTGTATATATATCTATATCTATAATTCCCAAAATGTGTGTGTATGTATGTGCGTGTGTGTGTATGTGTGATCGGATGTTGTTTATGCGTTTCCAGTTTTCATCCGATTTCGATAAAATTATTTCTGTTTGATAGATAATTCTTCAGTGCTGGTTTTGAGTCCAAATTGGCTGGAAAAAATTACAACCTTGAAGGTGTAAAATCGAAAAAACTGATTTTTTTACATTTTGCGCAAAAAATCAAAGGCTAAATTTTATATCTGTAAAAGAACAGCGTACAACCAATTTAGAGAGTTGAAATCTAACGCAAAAGATTATTAGGATTATAAAAAAAAAAAAGTATAAATAAAAATTATCGTATATTGTTATGACGGTCCATAGAAGAGGTTCCTTCCTTGCAAGATTGAGAACACAAAAACGGCCCTTTTCAGCCCCCCCCTTCAAATTGTTACCTCCTCCCATTTGGGGATGTGCCTCAGTTGCACCCAATTGTTGTTATTAATATTGATTTTCGGGTGGGCTGACTTTAAACGTAAATTGCTCCAACTGAACGGCAACAATTCCCAGTAAAATCGAAGACGGGTTATACTGCTAGTATTTACTAAGTTTAAGATATTGAGTTTTTTTTTAGTCTGGCAGGATCACCAGTAGGGATCGAACTTACTTTACAAGCAAAATTTTGCAAGTTAAGCTTTCAAAACTAATTTTATAATCATGTTATTTGATATGCTTGTGGTTGTTATCATCGTGGTCTTACCTCAACTCGTCTGCCAAGGGCCTTTACACCTGTTAGGTGGGGTTCTATAAAGCAATATAAAAAAAAGAGTACACATCGTCTGTCTCTTCATTCACTCTTCTACCGCAAGATACCGAAGAGACAAGATGTGTCTAATTTCCTTTAGTTTCGTTTCTGTTTTATTTTTTTTATTTTTCTATTTTTATGGTCTCCTTCAATTACTTCTTGAGATCTGCAGGCATATTCTTCTCTATGATCTGAAAGACTTTCTTTTCTTTATTAACAAAATCAGATTAGGTCTCCTTGATTGGATGGTCCGTCTGAGTCTCACTGTCTCAAATTATTGACTGTTATTATTATTACAGCAGTTAGTTTAATTCGATTTCGTTATTCTTATTAACAGAAATAGTTGTTATTCCTTCATTTCGTTTTGAACTGGGGAATGAGGCTGTTTTCGTAATCTCGAGGTTCGGAATAAAATTAAATCGATTTGCAAAAATTCTTTGAAAATCAAGTAAAGGTTTGATTAAAACAAAAATAATTTCATCGTCTGCTTCGCCTGATTTCGGGATTTTTCTTTTTCTTTTGTGTTTTTCTTCGTTTAATTGCGTTGGTGCGGACAAAACATTGTTTTGAAGACAACGTCTTTCGTCGTC